GGGGAGGCGGGCGGTGCGGAGCCGGTGGCGGAGCGGCGCGTAACCGGCTGTGTCCTCTCCGCTTCCCCGCAGGCTGCGAGCAGCATGGGCGGCGCGGCGGCAGCGGGACGCGCAGGGTGAGTGCGTGGGGCAGGGGCGGCGCGGCCGCGCGCCGGAGCCCGCCGTGACCGCGTGTGCCTTTGCCTCCCCACAGGGCGCTGGTGCTGGTGCTCCTCTGCCTGGGCGCGGAGCTGGCGAGCGCGGTAAGTGAGCGGGCCCTGCGGGTGGGCGAGGGCGGCGCGGGCAGCGGCTGCCTGTGGGCCTTGGGCACCTCTTGCCCTTAGTAGCGTCTCCCTTTGGTGCGAGCTGGTTCTTAGGTCCTTGCTCGCCCGGGCTCCACTCTTGGCCAGGTGGAAGCGATGTGAGCCGTTCTGGATTAGCCGCTACGCACAGTACCTGTGCTCGTGGTGCTGAAGGGGTAAGTAAGTGTGAACCGCCAGGCTGGCATGCAGAAGCAATGGTTTTATGGTCTGCCAGCCTGGTAATTTTATGATATAAACACAAGTTTTCCTTACACTGTTCTGAATTAATGCGTAAACAGGTTAGGAAGGAACTGTGGATTTTTTGCATAAGTTTCCTATATTTTCTTACTATCAGTGTGGATTTTCTTCAACGGGGATATTGAAACTGTTAGTCTACATGGCTGTTATGAATGAAGAAGTCTTTTAAAAAATCTCTAGTGTAAATTAAGTACCTATCTGATGTATTGTTAGCAGCTCTAAGTAATCCCTTTGTTATATTGTGATATAAATTAAAATTACACGATGCTCTGTAAGATTCATAGTCCTGATTTCACAGGATATAGCCTACAATGAATTTATGGAAGCAGCTTGTATAATATACTTACACATGTTTGTTTTAATTCAAATTTGAAGTGTCTTTTAACAGAACAGTTGAAAACATTAGTCTTTGATTCTTAAACCAAAGTTTTCCTGCTGTTTTTGCCACTATTTAAATTAGTATTTTATCTTCAGGGATTTAGAGAATTGCTGTGCCACTGAGGAAAAATCTTTGAAAAGGCGTTAATAGAATAAGAATGTATAGTTTCCATAAATATGGAAGTCTTGAATACACCTTGCACTTTGTATTATCAATGAATTGCACTGGTAGAGTTTCATTATCCTGATCAGGTGGTAGCTACAAACCTTAATCTTCTCAAAGATTAAAAGATTAGACAATGTGCAAAGCTGTGAGTAAAGAAAGTGGATAAGGCTCTCTTTTATTATTTTGGTTTTTTATTTTTTAAACGTAACAGTTGTTCTCTTGAGTGTTCCATAGGCAATGGAATCCATGAGGAAATGACTTATGCAGCACATGCTTCAGAAAGCCTAGAAAGTATGTGATGAACAATATTTTTCAGTCATCGGTATAAATCCATGCAGTACATCAGTGAAACTTTTTCTGATTGACACAATTGTCACTGATAGATGAAGTGTTTTTTTTTTCTTTTTTTTTTTTGCTCTAGTTTTACTTTATACCTGTTGGAAAGAACATCTGTTAAGCAGTCAGGTTTTTGTCAGCTTTGACATGCTTGTAAAGGGACTTTGCCAACTGAAGTCTAATAAAATGAATAAGCTTAGTATCTTCATGTCATTCCTAGGTTCTCCTGACAGTTTTTTTCAGTGTTAAAAAACAAACAAAATCTTTGTTGCTGTGTGAATGGTCTCCAAGTATGAAAACAAATCAGAAATAAGTCCTTAAAATAGTTCAAAATGTTGGCACTTAATGGTGGTTACGCAGTTAGCATGTTTAATTATTCATGTAAACTGATGCTGTTAAACACAATGAGAAAATGAAGATGATATTTATCTTTTTAGATGCATTAGTAGGTAAATGACTTTCATGTGGTGATATCACTGAATTGTTTAAAAAAAAAAACACTCCTTTCTAGTATGAAAGTATGACGTTTTTGAGAGAAAATACAGGTGTCCAAAATTATTTTTGTGGAAAGCAGTGGGTTTGTTTTAGAAAAAAGCAGATCCTTTGTAAGATTGCAAAGTCTTCTGTTACGTCATTTTGAATGATTGAGTATATAGTGAGTACTCTATTACTAAAATCAAATTTATAGTAAACTGCTTAAGCACTTCTTAGAAGGCACATCTAAAAAGGCAGTGACATGGGATCCCTTTTCTGAGCAGGAGTGGGTATACTCAGGGGATACTGATAGAACTGAAGGGCTGAGTTATGCTTCTGAACTACTTTTCTGCCACATGTAAAGCATTTCTTTTCCTTTGAGACAGGATAAACCAAAACTCTTAAGTGTTAACAACCATATTTAACTGGTATTTATGGAGCAGTTTTTTAGAGCTGTCTTCTAAAGTCACTCCCTAAGCTATGCTAGGTTCATGCTTTCAGTCTTTATTATTATTGTTGTTATTGTCATAGTAGTAATTTGCATCAATCATATACCAGGAATGTCAATGCAAGCATATGTGCAAGCATAAAACAGAAAGTTAGTACTATCTCCAAGACATCCACAATTGCACTAGTGTTACAAATGACAACATTTGTTCCAGAGCTACAGTGGGGTGTAAAAAATGTTGGAATAATACAGCAGTGGTAGGTGTTTGCCTCATCTAATCACTATTCAGGGGTAGTACTGAGGTTTTTTTTTTAGGCATCTAGATGAAATGAAGATTTTAAAAGGAGGAATTTTAAGAGGATAATCAGAGTTTTCCTGATGTTTCTGAGATATCTTTTTACAAACATGAGGTAGGACATGAGATAAAAATGGTCATGAAGGCTAGAAATAGGCTCTTGCAGTGAAATATGAGAGTCTCATCTCTTCACAGAGCTCTCAGAAGAGTTGCATCTTATCATAGTCCTTGCGGGGCAAGTTATTTCTGTGAGATGGTAGCTTGATACTTATCTCCTTTCCGTCATTTTTCAGCTGGCTGAGCACACTTGGAAAATGTGCCTTTCTTCTTGTGATACCCTAAAGAGCTAGTGTGATAGACTGGCTGTCTAACAGGTTCTTGTGGAGCAGCTGAACCTTCAGATAGAGTTCACGCAGTTTACATTTTATGAATCTGGATATAATGTATCATTACTACTCCTCCAAATCTCTCTCTCTCCCCCCCGCCCCGGTTAAATGTGCACATTAACTAGAGATACTAGAATCACAGAATAGTTGCAGAGAGATCCAACTGGAGATCCAACTCCCCCGCTCCAGCTGGGACACCTAGAGCACGTGGCACAGGGTGGCATCCAGGCAGGTTTGGAAGATGGCCAGGGAAGGAGACTCCACAACCTCTTTGGGCAGCCTATTCCAGGGCTCCTGCAGTCACCCTCACAGTAAAGTTCTTCCTCTCATGGAGATGGAACTTCCTGTGTTTCAGTTTGTACCCATTACCCAAAGACAGTAGAAATACTTTTTTTTTTTTTTCTTTGTAGTGTTTAATGTATTGTTCAGCAGAACATCTATACATGCAGAATTGTCCAACTAAGGAAGTTAACTACAACTGCCAGCCAAAATCAGTTCTGGGCAGCCTGCTTTGTTTTGAGTAACTTAAGCTCTGCTGGTTTATGGCAAGTCAGCTCAACTAATCTTTCTTTTCTTAACATACCCTGTTTTCTTTCTGATTCTTTAGTTTTGATAGAAATGCTTCATAGTGTCTCCTCATTTAATATGTACTGGACTGGTTTAATTGAAGTAAGTTCATTGTTTTCATGGACTTATATCAAAGATTAATTTTGTCCCAGTAGTCTGACAAAGGAAAAATTAGCTGTTGAATCGGGGATATTTAAAAACAGAGCGGCAGCTCTCATGGTCCTGCTTCCCACCATTCTATTTCTACAAATATGAGCTTATGAATTAGTACTTGTTTTAAAGGCCTTTTTGTTTCTTTTCCATTTTGTTTACTGTCTGTCAATATGCAACTCTTCTGCAATTCAGCTATAGTATTTTCACATGGCAGTGAGCTTCATCAGGATAGACATAATACCTGTAGTGTTTACTATTAAGAAAGGAGCAAACAGAACTTTAGAAATAATGTAAAATATAAATAATATAAAATGCAATCATGTAAATCTCAGGATGTGCTTACCAGATAAGCCAGCTTATTTGTAAGAAGGCAAAGGTATAGAGGTGCTTTCATGGTGCTGTCCTAGTGTTTTGAGGTGATAACTTATCATGGTTATGGTAGATACAGATGAAGAATTCTTCACTGCTGGAATTCTTGACATACTTGAAATCCTCACTTCTTTCCTAAATGGTTTTGCGGCTCTTGCATAGATGGGTTTTTACAATTCCATTATTATCTAGATACAACTGGTATAAAGTTTTATTATCAGGGCAATAAAGAATGGAATTTGATAACACCTGTGTGTCACATTAAATGATAGTAAAGAAGACAAAATAGGAATTTTTGAAAACTTTGATAGACATTTTTGAGGTTCTTTGAGAATCGAATCTCAAATTTAAGACTGCTTTCCATGTCATTCTAGACAAAAGGAGAATCAAAGCACTTGTGCTACTATCCTGTGGAAAAGATTATTTTAATAAGGTCAGTGTGTGTTTTGAAAGGGATTGGAAAGAGGTTGCTTTGCAGAGGATATCACTGAAGTTGTGAAATGCAGTTGGACTCAGTTATGTTTTGATAATGGCTGCAACGTTGGAGAAAAAAATATTAGTGGGAGAGAATGATGGGTCATTGATTTTTATGAGCTTTGTTTATTTTTTTCCAAAATTCCTACAACTCAGAGGGTTTTATTCTTATAAGAAGCTTTGAAGTCGGACTGTTTGGTGCACCTCTTCCAGCTTATTCCTCTATGGCAAAGGAGCATTTGGAGTACCTCCTATTACCCGTTTCTTGCAAAAATAGCTTTGCAGGTGGTAGTGTAGGTAAGAAATCCAAAAATACTTGGAGAAAGCAAATAATCTGTTCCTGTGCTTTTTATATAGACTTCAGTAATAAAGTCATTTTTCCTTTCCAGAACTGCTTCCTCTTTTTCCAGACTTGAAGTCTGAAGATCCATAAATCTGTTCTTCCTCTTTCTCTCCTGCTTTCTCACTTCTTCCTGCCCTCTGCCCTGCCTCCCTTCCCCCCTACTTCTTTTGAGGCATTTTGGGGGGCGTTTTTTTCCCACAGCTCTTCTCATCTGGAAGAGACTACACTTGTTCTGTGCATCTGCTCTACTGATTCCATTAGATACAAGTCTGTAAGGATCCTGACAACTTGTGCTAGTGTAGTTTGTTCTTGTT